CTTTTTTTCCCGACCCACAAACTTGACTCCAGCTTCAGGTCTGTCTCCATCTGGAAAAGCGCTCCAGTCACAGTGTCGCTCTTTCCCCGTTTCTCAGAAAAAACTTTTATGACCACATTTTACACCCCTAATTCACCTCTGAGAAATGGCAGCCATCTCGCCATCAGTCAACAAACAACCACAGTCCTTATCTCCCATGTTAACGTTTTCATCTTCCTGTGAATGAACCTGAAGATCTTTCCTGGAGACACGTTTAGGCCATTATTCATGTGAAATGTTGAAGACATCGCCTCACCCAGGGTTTTATTCTAAAAATATCCGTTTCCTCCACAGTCCCTCCCTGGTGTCACCTGCTGTATTTGCATGTTGCACTGCTGATTGGATGCCAGTAGTTTACCTGTAGTTTAGCCAATTACTATGGCAACACAAATCATTTGGTGATTGAAAATGGATTAGACCATGTCACAGTAAAGTACAAAATGCATAGTTTAAATAATAGCCTACCAGCAGGGGGGGGTAAGTAACTGGTAAAGCGAGACATTAAAATAACAAGCTCACCTGTGAAAACCAAATATAACTCTTAAGTGGAACACGAAAATACCTTATTCTTATTTGGTGTGTGCGCGCGCGAGTGTATGTGTGTGTGTGTGTGAGAGAGAGAGAGTCACAGAGAGAGAGAGAGAGTATTGTCATTTGCAAACTAATAATGACAAAGCTCTTTTTAACTTCCATTTCTCAGACTTTTGCATTTCAAGTGGATACTTGTGTAACATATATTTTGGCTTTATTTTTTCCAAAATGAGAAACAACTGAATAAACATTCAAAGAGTGAGTGGAAACACAAGAACAGAAATAAACAGGGACATGGCAACACAGCTCTATAACACCAACCTTTCACCCTGAGCCCTCTTAAACCATTTTTCAGGGATTGTGAAATGTTACAAAAGTGTAAAATGTACATTGTGTTATAATTTAAACATATGTGTGTTGAAGCCCAACCTTCCATATGCCGATATTTTTATATTTTTAACGACTTTATGTATATGACATTTAGGGGAATTGTAAAAATTTTTAATTATATTTATGTATTTTCCAGGCTCAGAGGAAAACCTCCATTAGCACACCTAGCTCACGAGGGTCTAAAGATGAAGTGATATCCCAGATTTGAGACTTTAAGCCTTAACACTTAGAGTTCATTGTTGTGACACTTAACTTCTTTGATATTTGACTCTCTGAAGACTTGACTTGACTCGTGCCCTGAAAGCAAAAATATTATAGATCATTTTGACCTTGCAAAATTTCAGAACAATAGGAAAAAAGTAAGACAGGGACAGGCAGACCTTTGCATGACCACATATTTTGAATATTCAACATTAGGGCCTGAAAGTGCTTGGTCTCAGCTATATAAAAAAGTAAGGAAAGTAAGGAAAATTGTCAGCATTCAGAGTCATGGACTTTCTCCCAAGGACTTGTGACTAGACTTCAGACTTAACTTTGATTTACCCCCCAAAATATTTTCTAAATAACACCAAACAGTATAGTCAGTATATCAATTCAGCATTATTTTGGAGCTGCAGTACTTTATGGATAGATTGACTTGTGCAGGGGTCTGGGGAAAAATGAACTTTTTGACCCAAATCCCATCCTCTGCATTGTATCCTTTGTCTTCCCATCAAGTACAGACTACAAAACAGATTATACATGGCACTTCATTATATGCCCAGAAACCAGTGCTCTTATACTAGAATAACACTGCCAATAGCCCCATGCAGGTTTGTTGTTAAAATGTGTTTGTGGCATTTTGATTAAATGCAGCTTTTTACAACTTCTATTTAGGAATGCAGATCATGAGCACAACATAGCCTAAATTGAATAATCAATTAAGGGCTTATAACTAGATCTGAACAATGGACCTGGGGTTTTGGGGGCCTCTGGGTCAGTCAGCCTTGTTAGAACTGCCCAGCATGATGCTTCCTATAGTTGTGTAAAGTTTGCGACAATAGTCAACAACATAACATCTGAGTTCTTATCGACGTGAGGGCATTTTTCAGAATAAAGTAATTTATGGAATTTTTTTGTGCTTCATTCAACGGCTCCGGCTTTTACTGTGAAGGCTCAGCGCACACAGTGACCGGAAATGCTTGTCGTTATTGTGGCACGCTCCTTCCTCCCCTCCCTTCCTTGCTAGCAAGTCGACTTAGCTAGCTAGCGAGACAACCTGTTTAAACCTTATAGTGTAATTATTATGAATTGATTGATCAGCGTAGTGTATTTGAGTTCTGTCTCCAAAGTCCGGATAACAAGCCAAACCAGCAAAATGAACATACGAAACGCAAGGGTAAGTGCGCTGAAGTCCTGTCGACAGCCACGCTGTTTCTACTAACTGGTAGCTAAGCTAACGTTAGTTACAATGTTACTCGTTAGCTGACCAAAAATTTCCGATTAAAGGGTTAGCATCGTGTAATGCACCTTTCTGACGCTCAGGTTTCTTTCTTTCAGCCGGAGGACCTTATGAACATGCAGCACTGTAACCTGCTGTGCCTTCCTGAAAATTATCAGATGAAATACTATTTCTATCACGGATTGTCCTGGCCTCAGGTGATTCACAGTTTCCTACTCTCCTGGTACTGCTAACTCCACTGCTCCTGATCATCTGGATCCTTCCAGTGCAAACGTTTGTTTGATGCTCGTCGCCTGTTTTCATCTTTTTCAGCTCTCATACATTGCTGAGGACGAAAATGGCAAGATTGTGGGATATGTGCTGGCAAAGATGTGAGTATCTGTGATTACGTTTTGTTTTACCTAACATCAATTGAACGTAACTAAACCTAACCTATTGTGGGACCTTATTAGGGAGGAGGACCCAGATGATGTACCCCATGGACACATCACATCCCTGGTGAGTCAGATCGTTAGACATGTCATACAATCTCCTCCATTATTTATATTTTGTGTTTTATTACTGATATTCATGGCTGACTTCTCTGTGGCAATAAAAACCCTTGTCTCTGTGTTCCAGGCGGTGAAGCGCTCCCACAGACGTCTTGGCCTGGCCCAGAAGCTGATGGACCAGGCCAGCCGGGCCATGATAGAAAACTTCAATGCTAAATATGTCTCACTTCATGTTCGCAAAAGGTACTGTGCACTGTGTGTTTGCGCGCAGTGAACTTGGTTTGTACTGTTCCCTGTTTGGTCCTATGTGTCTCAGCACTCCTGTTTGTAAGGGACTTACCAGTCTTTTTCCCCCCACTGCAGCAACCGAGCAGCCCTGCACCTGTATTCCAACACGCTCAAATTCCAGTAAGTTAATTTTTTTGGCAACATCACTTCAGTGTTTTTATTGTAATGCATGTGATTCTTGGGTATTCTTACACAGTTAGCTTGGTTGTAACCCAAATGCTGAGGTCATGAGTAGAGCTAGAATTGGGCTGGGCTGATATTGTATTATTCAAATGTTTTTACAGATTTTTTTTGAAACATTTACGTATTATACATCATACAGTACATGATTTGAGACAGTCCAAAGAGGTTGAGGCACTAACAGTAAAATATCGTAAATCTGAGAGATAAAGCTGTGCTGCTCAGTAGGACCTTTATGAATACATTCCTCGCTTCCATAAGTTTGAGAGTTCAAGAAGGGAATATAGTGACTGTTTTGTTTTTTAAGTTCTTGATTTGGAGGTACTGTACCTGGGGGAAAAAGTCAGATAGTGGAATGCTAAATCCTCTGACCATCTGGGTGAAAGACATGAAAATATTGTCTTTGAGCTACATGTTCATCTTGCAGTTGCAGTTAAATACCATTAGAGACTCAGATTTGTTGGGTTGGCAGTTATTGTTAGCGGATATTTTCCAGTATTGGCCTCAAAAATCCATTGGTGGGGAATCGTTAATAAATTTATTTATTTGGTCAAAACTTTGTCAAATTTGAATAAATGTCAGATAAAACTCCTCCAAGGTAGCTAAAACCCACAAATTCCCATTGTAAAGATACAATGTATATGTCCTCAATGGCAGCTGAATGTAACTGATTATATTGTTATATTGTTGTTCCTCCACAGGATTAGTGAGGTAGAGCCTAAATACTATGCAGATGGGGAGGATGCCTATGCCATGAAGAGAGACCTGGCCCACATGGCCGATGAGGTGACTTAATTCTCTACGCTGTTGGCGCTAGATTTACATGATTTTTCACAAGCTCCATGTCACCCCAGGGGACATGTAACACACTGAACTCTGATGAGCAGATTCTGATTGCGAATGTGTGGTGTTTCTGTGTGTGGGTCCCACAGCTGAGGAAGCCCGGGGTGCGAGTTTCGGGTCAGGAGGCCCCGTCTGGCCAGAGCCCGTCAGGGTCTGGCGACCAGGAGAGAGAGAGCGAGAGAGACAGCGGAGGAGAGAGCAAAGAGCTGAGTGAAGTCAGCGAGGCAACAGAAAGCACAGACGTTAAAGATTCTTCTTCTGATTCACAATGACACTGCAGTCGTAGACATTTTTAAATTCATCCCTCCCTTCCTATTTTTATCAATATTTGACAATATCTCTGGCTTTACAAACTGTGACTGTCTGTGCGTGAAAGCCGTTCCCTCATTTCAAATCTTAAATCTTGCTTTTCACTGCAACAATGAACAAAAAGTGTTGGATAATGACATGGATCGGGGTGATCTAAATGAACCTAAAATGAATAACTGGTCTCCTTGTTTTCATTGGATTGCTGTTGTCATTACCAAACGTGGCCCAAAGTTCTGTGAGATTTACAGAATTGAAAGCAGCCCCTGCTTTTCAAGTTGTTTCAGTCTGGTCTCTTAATTATTTAACAGAATTACTGCAAATAAATCTTTCAAATAATACCTCTGGTATTGCACTTATTTCATTAGGTGATCAAAAGCAGCTTATTAGTCTATTTCTGAGTGTAGACTACATTACAGTTCTCCATGGCCACTATGTAGTAAGTTAAATGTGTATATTTATTTAGTTAATGCAGTGCTTAATTGTAAACTCATTGTGAAGCCTGTATAATAATACCATCTACACAGACAGTCACAGATGTTACTTCCCTTGGACACAATCATATGAGGTACACCAGTTCCATAATCAAGGTTCCTATTGATGGTGGAAAGACCCTACAGTTTGTGTAGGATTTCCTACTTTGGTGACCCCTAGTGGCGGCATAAAAAAAATCACTGAGGCAGTCAACATTGCACACTGTTACACCGCAACAAATCTGACCCTTGGACACAAATGAACCAGCTGAATACAACAGACTGTTCCAGTTTTCACTAGGGTTGTTGCATTTTTTTTTTACAAATAAAAACGTATGACATAATAATGCTACATTTAGGAAATTTAAGATAATTGAAAAGCATTATACTCAAAAAGTCGAGTCGAGGAAAGACTACAATGAATGTGTGACCTTAAACCCTCCTTGTTTACATCTGACCATCTATCAAACGGCATCTTTTGTCAGGCTAGCCAAAAAATGTCAGTTAAGACTGTTTTTTTGTGCTGATAAAGCATCATCATTCTACTGTGATAGAGGAAGGAAACAGGAGTGACAGAGAAGTATGTGACAGATAACGACAAACACTATGCACACTGGTCTCTCAGAACGTTTTGCTGTTTGTGACAAATTGTAAAATAGCTCAGTTTCACACCTTCGTACCATTTTACACTTCTAGTTAGAGGTGAGAGAAAACCATAACACTGCAGCCGTTCAAAACAAGTTATTTACAGACATCCGTTATGTGAGTTACGATTTAATAGGAGCAAAAGTTTTACAGGAGTACATGTAGTGAAAGTCACTGGGGACTTTCACTGAAATCAAATACCATTTTCTTGGTGGTCATACAGAATGGAAGCTGATTGTGGAGTACAGACTTGTGCCAAGAATACCCCAGAGTATTCAGGGTTGTTTTTTAATGTTTATTTTTTATGTTTTTCACTATAGCAGCTGATTTCACTTAGTAGCCTGTCAATAACCAGTGCAGAGGGACTAATCAGTGAAAACAGCTGGTGTTTGATTAGACTGAAAGCCTTGTGTGGAGTTCAAGAGGCAAGCATGAAAGAGGGACTCGAAAAGGTTTTCACTCATTTCACTTGCACAATCCCACACTGACGCCTCAAACTGAATGTGTCAGTGAGATGACGGGTGAGAGAGAGAGTGCAGAAGAGCAGTGTGTGTGTGTGTGTGAGAGAAAGAGAGTCAGATGAGTTCCACTCCACCCACATCTATCCGTGTCCAATGTGAGGGGGAGGTGAAACAGTTGAGGGCTTACTGCACTATTAACTGGCATTTTTTAGTTGCCTCAGTCTGGAGAAGAGACTAGTCAAGGCTGCTCATCATCAGGTAGGACTGTTTTATTTTTTTGGGAGGGGGATGCATTAAACTTTTATTGATTTTTATTTACTGACATATCTCCCCAAAACAGAATATTTTGCCAGTTTAGGTCTAATAAACACATCCTTGTACTGCAAAGTAAGTGCTGTTATAGAGGATTGCTCTGCTAGATTATTTCAGTTAGGCTATGTTATTGTTGGCTACAGACGTAGCCCTCAGGCCATTAACGTTTCATAAGCTCACTACGTGTCTGTACTTGTGAAAACCTAAATTGAGACTCACAGAATCACCATAATAGCGACTGAAAACCCCATTGCATTAAGGTTAAGACTAGCTTTAATAAAATATTACCGCATATTGTGACGACAGGAGGGGGTGATTCACTGCTGATCACATAGAGAAAGAATGAAAGGGCTAATGGAAAAGGGTGACACAGGCTGGAAAAACACTCTACAGCAGGGTTTGGGTCTGCTGTAGTGCAGCAGGCTCATTTTTAGTAGGCCAGTTGGTAAATGCTATAGAGAGTGCTGATGAGTGATGTTTGACTTTTGTAGAAAGGGGAAGTCAAGGGGGGAAAGGGAGAATGTGTGTGGCGGTTGTGTACAAATGGTCATAATCCAGCAAGAAAACATGCTACTCTTCCCCTTTCTGATAAGCACTAAATGTCAGCCTGATAAGTGAGATCTTGCAAAAAATCTGTGGCTAAATAGTTTATTTTTGATTCCTCACAGGCCCGTCAGATTACCACGTGTTCAAATTAATGTCATGCATTGAGATTCTCCATTCATACACTCTTCTGCACCACTGCATCTATAGTCCGCTGAGAACAGGCCGAGATATTTATAGCCGTGTTAGTTTCTGTCGCACAACTTAATAAATATGGGTTTCTCAGATTGTGACGACTGCTTATTTTGATGTTTCTCCTATATGAAGCCTAGTTGCAGTCAGATACAGTTCTTAGTCTAAACTGGAATATACTTTTTATAAAGATTCTCAGTCATCAAGTTAATGAGATATCTGGAAATATGAAGCAAAAAGCAGCTGGATTTGCTGTTTTATTCTTGATAAAGAATTTACTACAAGTGCAGTGAACATGAGTGTCATTGACATACCACCTGTAGTCTTTGGAGCAAACATCCTCACAGGGTTGGAAGCCTTGTGCTTCACCCTATTTTTAGGGCAGCAAAGATGTTGATAGAGATATATTTGCACCTAATGCAATTCTGCAGTGTGGCCGGTGCAGCAGGCAGCACATGCCAACTGGTTTTCTAGTTGCCTGCTGCTCAGCACAGGGTGACCAGTTTCAAGAGATGTGTTACAGTAAGCTGAACATGCTCTTTTCACTCTTTCTATGGCAAGAGGAAGTTAGTGTGGTATGCAGAGGGGGTGTTTTCAGCACTAAAAATGTTTGTGTAAATGTTTGCAGGATGCAGCAGGCTGTAGGCCTTTTCATACTACATGGTGAGATAATAAAACATTCACTTGTTTTATCCAGAATTCCACCCAGTTGGAGCAACAATGACTTCCCATGTAAAACTCCGGAAGGAGAAGATTGCTATGGTGGACTATGACACCCAAATCAAAGGTAAAATTATTACTTTCATCTACCAGGTTCTAACAACCGTTCACTCTTTATCATACCCCATCTTGACAGTGATCAACATGTGTTTTGTGAGGGGGGACGTGAAATCCGTTACTCACCCACCACAAGACTTTCAGAATAAGTCACATCTCTTGTGTTTCTTTCTCTTTGCCTTGTCTGTTATTTTTTTCTCCCCTTCAGAGGTGCGTTGCCAGCTTGTAGACCAGCTGAAGGTGTTGGACCTGCAACTTGAGCAGAAGAGCCAGCAGTTGCAGGACCTGACAGACTACCTGCGACGACGGGGTGAGATTGAAAGCGAGTACTCCCGCTCCCTTGACAAACTCGCTGAAAGGTTCTCTTCCAGGATCAAGAGGTAAAGCCGGTCCTGCCTTTGACAGTGCACATTATGTACTAACTCGCAGTTCATTTGAGGACGCTGTTGTGAGGCACACCTGACTGTATCTTACACATTTTTTGTTCCTTCCCTTCTTTCCATATACTCAGGAAGGAGCCCAGTAGTCACTCTGTGGCCCAGGTCTGGTTAGCTCTGCTGTCCCAGACCCGTGAAGAAAGTAGGGACCACAATAGATTTAGTGAGGGCTGCAACAACGTCCTCATCCAGCCCCTCACACACTGCCTGGAGTACACACAACGCCTTGCCAAGAAGGTACTGCAGAGCATTGGCATCCACCAAACACAAGCATAGTCTTTTAGTACGCCTTAGGGACAAGTCTGCACCTGTATAGTGCAATTTACCCGACTATCGCATTGCTGCTACTTTCCTTTTCTGATCTTCACCCCTGTATTTCTCTGTAACTCTTGACATAAAAAAAATGTTGTGGCTCACTGTGTTCCTTCCGTATTATGCCATTTCACTTTGTGGTATTTTGTCTCTGCGCTGTGTTTCCAGAGTAAAGACATCTGTATTCAGCTACAAGATGGACTACTCAAGGTTACCACAGAGCTGCAGACCGTAAGTGAGAAACCAACAACCCAAAAAACATTTTCCGTTTCCAAAAACAAACAAAAGGAAAACATTGCTTTATCTTTTTGTGCGCAGGCATGGCGGACATACTACCAGTACCACTCAGACTACGTGAGTGCAGAGGGGAAGCTGAAGGAGGCAGAGAAACAGGAGGAAAAGCAGAAGCAGAGTGCTGCTAAAAAACTGGAGAGGTTGATAGAAAAAGTAAATCATCTTTTATGTAGTATTGTGAACATACATGTCTATATATGTCTATTTCACCTCTTACTGATAATTGATCATGTGCCATAGAGACAAAGTAAAGTCCAAGACATCTACCTGAAGTGCAGCAAAGCCCGAAACGATTACCTCCTAAACTTGGCTGCAGCCAATGCCTCCATGGAGAAGTACTACCTCCAAGACATCTCTACTCTCATAGATGTGAGTGCATCAGCTCACACTGTGTGTGCTGTCATTTCCTTTCAACATATACAAACACTTTGTATTACACAAGGCAACTTCTGGGGCCATTCAGACCACGTGGACCAATCGGGAATGAGATTCATCAGTTTTTTTTATTTTTTATTTATTTTAGTTCTGGCCTACTAATACCTTCCTACTACCATGACCCATTGGGTCAGTCATTAATCTTTTAAAACATCAAAACATTAGAGCTATTTTGTCAGAGTTATCATAATGTTTAAGGAAGTCACCTTGATCTAAGAGTACACAAATTATATACAGGTGATATTGTCTCCCTCAGTGTGCAGATGTAGGGTACCACCTCTCTTTGGGCCGGGTGATGCAGGCCTACCTGTCCACTCGGTGGCAGACCCAGCAGAACCTGAGCACAGGGCTGCAGCAGCTTCAAGGCACCGTGTCTGGACTGGACCAGAGCCAGGACAGAGACACCCTCCTGAAGGATCACTATAACACCTTCTGTATGCCCCTTCACTTCCCCTATCAGCCCCACGATGGAGACCAGGTGGGTGGGTGTGTGTGGGTGTGTGTGTGTGTGTGTGTGTGTGTGGATGTGTGTGTGTGTTCATTCAGTGGATTATTCAGCTTCAACTATAGACTCTCTCATGTCTGTCAGGTCTCCGAGGTCAGTGCAGAGTGTGAAGTAAGATGTGATCTGGACACCAGATTCAAACAGATACAAACCCGACTGAAAGCTGTCTCCCAGGAAATGGAGGAGGTACAGTACAACACACATGACACCTAACTATCACCTCACCACAGCTCAGGGGCACAGTTCATTCAAGGCTGTAAATAAAAGCTGTTTCCTGCTTACTTAACCATATTATTATTATTATACTGAAGTATGGGGAAAGTGTCAAACTCAGGAAACGGAGCTCAAGCAAGTTAGTGAAGGCAAGCTTGTAAAACATGTGAGGAGGAGGGAAACAACAAAAATATTAAAATGACTTAAACTTTGGCCAGTGTCCATTCAGGCCAGTTAATAGCAAGAATGTGACTTATTAAAGATTTTATTTTTACTCAACAAGTCAAGATTGATCATCACATTTACCTCCTTATTTGCTCTGTTGTTCTGGTGTTTTCACCAGGCACTTGAATGCAATATAGTTGCAATTACATTGTCAGTTCACCTCAGACTTGTCACCATAATATTCATTTGTACCAGTGTCGAGGCATTGTCTCACACACACGCACAGCCGTCAACTTAATCTGTTTCATCATCTTAATTACGGTCATTGAAATGACCGTAATTAAATGCAGTTTTGCCAAAGTGTACTATTCCATTGTCATCTCTGCCACTGTCACACAGGCTAGTAAGAGCATGTCAGCATCCCAGTCTTCCCTGCTGGAGAGTATCGGTGATGATGACCTGGAACCCGGCAACAGTTTGTCTCAGGACGGCAGCACTGAGAACCTGGCAGTCAAGCCCAGTGTGGCCCGCCGCAGGTCCAACGTGCAGGAAATAGAAAACCTCTACTTTACTGTGAGTTTGTTTCTAATGTCAGCACAGATGCACAGATTTTATTTATGTTTTGGTAAACGGTGTGGATGAAAAAAACCACAGCGGTGAGAGCATGATAATGACCTCAAATCACATGTGAATTGTTTTACAGAGAGTGAAAGAATACCTTGTAGGGAGCTCCCTTGTATCTAAACTGCAAGCCAAACATGACCTACTTAAAGTGGCTATGGAAAAAGGTATCACTTCTGCATTATTCACAGAACAATACCATCAGCCAAACTGCTGAGCCACAGTGTAATTTAACCAGTCGGTGCATTGTTGGTTTCCAGTAAATGTTCCTTTTTTAAAATTTCTTTTTCTTTTTTTTTTAAACCTGCAAGTAATGTATAAAATGTTCATTTATTCTGATGTATTTATCTGGCTGGTTCTCATTTAAGCTATATCTTTTTCTTGTGCTTTTCTTCCATCGAGCTGAAGCATCAAATGGAGATCAGCCTAGGTACGGATATAAATGCTCTCTCTTCTGGAGTCATTAAGCTCTTGGTTTAATTGTTGAATACTTATTCTTTGATTGTAACAACATGGAGTTGACTGTGTCTTCACAATATGACTCAATCTGGCTCGGCAGATACAATGGAAAGTATATGCGTATCAAGAAGAATCCCTCAAGTGCCAATTTTATGCACAACCACAAACTTTTCAATGGAGACATGCTGTCCTTCATACAGGTAGTTACCATCATGATTATACCACTTCACTGTTTCCTCTTTCAGCATTTCTCTCTTATGATATATTTAGTCTGTTTCCAGTACATCAGTTAGCAGTAATGTATTTATATGTATGACTTTCTGTTTCAGAAACTGATCACTAAATTTGTTTCACTCAGGCATCGGGGCAACAGATTCCAATTGTTGTGCAAAGCTGCATTTGCTTTATCAACCTCAATGGTGAGTCTTCAACTGAAGGAACAGTAAAACAGCAGCTGCACATTTGCTCTAATGCAAAAGATATTTTTAACATTTCTTTTCAAAAAGACAGTAAGACTTTAAGTCCCCCTGTGGTGATTATTAAAAAGTCACTGTGGCAGACTTCAGTGTCCTCCTCTCCTGCCACTGACCTGATGGGGCAACACTGTCATGAATGTGGCTGATAGCAACAAACAGACTGCGCCAATATTTACAGTCACAACGTCTGCTAGAAGTATAATTTTGAAGATGCTTTAATGGCCTAAACATTCTACACATAATGGCTTTAAATGTAGTTTTGCTTTGGATCTAAAAGGTCTCCACTAGTCTTAACCACTGAGGAATTATGATAATCTGTCTGTACATCAGGTCTCCACCATGAAGGGATATTTAGAGTGCCGGGGTCTCAGATGGAGGTCAACAACCTGAGGGATGCGTTTGAACGAGGTAGGCCTGTGTGTTTTTGTTTATGTGTGCATGTGTGTTGGCATGACCCATATTTATCCTTCCAGAGGAGTTCCCCTGAGTGTGTAGCATTAATAATGTTGGGCAGTGTGCTGTGGGCTTCCCCTGCAGGAGAGGACCCACTGGCTGAGCGGAGATACGACCTGGACTCTGTTGCTGGAGTGCTGAAGCTCTACTTCAGAAGTCTGGAGAATCCCCTCTTCCCCATCAACAGCACCAGTCAACTCCTGGAGCATAACCGTACGTGTGTGTGTGTGTGTGTGTGTGGTAAGAGGGTGGTCATTTGTTGAAATGTCAAATGAGTGGACAATTTATCTTTCTTTTATCACTTTTTCTCAGAAATAAAGAACGAGGCGGAGAAAGCCGCTCAGCTCAAAATGGTCATCTCTTCCTACCCTGAGCCCGTCATCGTTGTCATGAGATACCTCTTTGCATTTCTTCATCAGTGAGTCTTGACTGTCATTGCCACCTTCCCCCTTTCAGGATATAGATCTACAAAAGAATTGCATAAAACAATCATTCACAGGAAACCAAAATGTTTTTTTCAAGGAAGAGGAAGGACCCAGTTAGCTGATATTCAGCTCATTTTCAGGGGAAGCTTCTAATATTGCCTTTGAGACAGACACAGGAAGGTGACTTAACGTGATGTTTTTACAAAAGACAAATTTGGGGAAAAACTGTTTTTTTGTTGGTTTTTTTTATTTATTTTTTTATTTAGAATCACAAATGTCACTTTGGATAAAAGCGTCTGCCAAATGAGTTAATGAATACAGCAAAATGATGACACATTAAATAGTGACTTGGCAGATAATGGAGATGGGGACAGAAATAAAATGGCCAAAGGACAAAAGATTTATACTCAGAACATTATGTGTAAAGTGCAAAAAAACTGAAACAAACTAAACTAAAGAGAGGGGGATGACCATACAAAACAATCTGAAATGTATTCTATGTGCCTCAACATTTCATTTTTGCCTCCCTTTCTCAGTCATTTTATAATGTTGTGTTTCTCTGCTCCCTGCCTCCAGTGTGTCTCAGTACAGTGACGAGAACATGATGCAGCCTTACAACCTGGCTGTGTGTTTTGGCCCCAGCCTAGTAAGGGGGTCTCAGGATGACGATGTCGTCACGCTGCAGCCTCAGATCAACGACCTGGTGAAGAACATCATCCTCCAGCACGAAAGCATCTTCCCCAGCCAGAGCACAGTACAAGGACCGGTGTATGAGAAATGCATGACACTGGACCAGGATGACTGGTAAGAGAAAAGATGTTCATACACATAACATGGATACAGTGTATGGTGGAATGATTTGATGATCTGGCGGGTGTTTTCTTCACAGTGAGCCTATCCCTGAAGAAGGGGATGTAGAAGCAGAGTACACCCTTGGTAAAGATGGTAAGTTCATGTGTGTAGCCTATCTTAGGTTATCACTAAGGCTGTGACTGTGTCTCTGAATAGGATAAAATAATGCATCAATGTGATTTGCTGCAGAGTTTGAAACCGGATCCTCAGTGTTTAACAGCACCAGCTCCTGTGCAGTGGCAACACAGAGAAAAGCAGAACGTCCTAGAGCCAATAGCAGCGGTTCCATTGACCAACGCAGGTTGACAGCTGGACCAGCAGGGGGAGGCATCTCTTCGGGTGGAAAGTTTTTGCTGCAGATTCCTGTAGGGCCACAGTGCAAACCAAGGCGGGTCCCCTCTCCTAGCAATGTGTGCAGAATGTAAGTACCACTGCAGCAGCTGACTATTTGTTTTCATGAGGAATAACTACTCTGTGTTTTCTGATCATGTTTTTTGCATACAGATCGCATCACTCATCTTCTGAGGATCTTGGTGTTAACATAGACAAGGTCTGTGTTGTTTCTCATTTTGTTTTAAGTTACTGGTTCCTCTATGTGACAAGGCACCCTTTTTTTATTAAGGGTTTGTAAGTTGTAACTAATGGCTTTCACAATTAATGACTATCACTTTCTAGTAAGTCATCAGTTTTAAATGTTGTAATTTAAATGTTGCTAAGATTTTGGTCCAGATGTTCTTTGGCACTTTTCCAGGGTAAAGGGGTGAACCATCCTTTCGAGAGATTTCCCTGATGAACGAAAAAGCTAAAAAGACAAATCAAATTTTACACTGGAGGAGGATAACACCAGACAAAGAATTTTCAAAACCTGGCCACCCAAAAGTAGTTAATTAAGAAACTGAATTACAGAGCATTTAGTAAATTAATTATTCAAATTTAGAAAGTGATTGGTTATAACTTACAAACCGTTTATAAAAGAAAGCGGAACCAAATTACAAATGATATTAATAATAGTACGTTGAACATTATCAGAACCTGTCGAGCAGAAGGGACAGCTTTGTCTTTGTTCTCTCTCTCATCGCCATTGTTTATTGAATCTCGCAGGAGGTTTGTCGCCAGATGGACTCGGTCTTCAAGGAGCTCCTCATGCGGCAAACTGTGCAGGATCCCTCCTCCACCGCCTCCTCTCCCTCTGCCCAAGTTGCCCAAAGGAAAGGGAGGCAGAATGTACGCAGGGGGAGAGGAGCAGGTCTTTTCAAAGCAGCAGATCCACTGGACTGAGAGGACTGGCATCAGATGACCTAAAAAGAGAGAGATGATACTAATGAAAACTGAGGTGTAGGGTGATGTGCTCTGACAGTAGCTTTCAGCACATCTATTTCTAGAGAACTGAGATCACTGACCCAGTCACTTCTCTGGAGGTCCCCATGATTGGTCCGGGCTGCTTTCCACAGGGTGGCACTCTACTCGGAAGCTTTTGTTCATGTTTTAGCAGAACCCTGCCGTTACTGCAGACCTTCACTGCAATGTGGAAACTGTGGATTACTTGAAATGCACAGATGTGTTTGTGTACAGCTGAATCTGGTTATGCACATAATGACTTTATCAGTGTCTGTGTTGATATTCAACTGTTTCCAGTTTAAGCCAAACTTCTCAGTGATTTTTGGTCAGTACATGCATCATTATTCATCAAAAGTCTGTTAACAAAATGAAATGGAGTCACATGGTTGATAAGAAAACTGTGAATACTGTAGCTGCAAGGAAATTGTATATATTCATTATTTGTAACTTGGTTACACATGATTTGTCTGTAAATTTCTGCTATATGCCAAATAAATATTTTATCTATTCTAACTGCTTTTTTATTTTGTTTTAATATGAGGACTGAAATGTGGGACATAATTTGCTTTTCTGTTGCTTTACTTTAAGCCTTATAAGTTATTGTGAGTAGGTTTAAAAGTTAAAGTAGAATTATTAAGATATTTATGATTTCCGTTTATATTAAGAGTGAAATAAACCAAAGGCTTTTTAGAAATGGCTTTATTATGGTCACCAAATGATTAAAATCAAACCATACTATGCATTACAAAAACGATAAAAAGCATATAGGACTAAGAAATCAACACAGTTTAGCAACAGACCTTTCTTACAACTGAAATTTTGACTTCCATGGCAGGAAAAACACAACTGTAACTAATTATATCTAATTAATGGTAGCTCTTTTCCATTTCAGTGTCAGTAACCCTTCAAAATGAGTCAGCATGCACAGTGACAGGCCTTGTTTGAACCTGGAGCACCTAAATGGAATGAATCCATTATTTTTTATTGTCAGTAATAACTTTTGCTGCTTTGGCATGTCAAAATGTCTTCTGTGAAAAAGGTCTATTGACATGGGAGGCAGTTTGACAGCTTCCTGTGTTCTTAAGGACGCATTTTCCTTTTTAAACAGAGTCTCTCAGCCAGTAGCTACACATTTAGGCACGGAAAACCTTCCAGATAAAAATGAATAAATAAAATGGTGCAAATATTTATTAAAGCTGAATTATTTGAATGTAAGAACTACAACAACTATTTTGTCTTGTAACGAAAATGCCAGAAGGAAGACCCACATTTTTGATTGCTTGAGGTAAAAATTGTTGAGATATTTTCTGGTTATGATTTGAACAAGATTAAAGGCTTTGTTAAATTCACATTAATACATGTGCAATTTGCCAGTAATTATTATAGTAGTATAGATAAGCTTTTAATATAATTATCTTTACGTCTTTAAAACACAAGGATGTAGTACAGTGGTTTTATCAGCCAAATGTTCTCAAATTAAAGTATAAAAGTAAACTACTCATCAGACACTGTTATATTATCATATAGGGTTATTATTACTAATTACTTAATTAAAACTAAGCATTCTAATGTTTTAGCTAGTTGAATATTTTATGTACTGTTGTTGGGCAGTGTGTCATGTTTTAAATGAATATAAAATCAGAAATCTGCAGTAAATTGTATGATTGTCAGATAAATGTAGCAGACCAGTCTAATCAGCTGCAGCGTCCGATGAAAATCGGATATCCGATCCACAAATCAGGTGCGGTTCAATCATAGGCCAGTTAAAGACTTTTGTGAAGGCTTGCTCCTTGCAGCACAAATAAAAAATTTTGGACCATGGATTTATAAAGAGACAACAAATGTGAATGTCTTAAAACAGCATAAAACACCCTGTTAACAATGCAAATTTGAACATTATTAACAGAAAAAAGTGGTAACGCATCAAATTTGGGTGCTACCACATCATCAGTTTCTGAGGGTAAACAAATACAGTGATAGCAAGAATTAAAATAATTGCATAAAATGAGGTTAAGAAGTAATATTGATTGAATTGGGCATAAGAAATCATATTAATTAATTAACAGATATTGATTACTTACTGAGGACAAAAATTAGCTTGTATAAAATATCATACATGACATATTCCTTTAATAAATCAAATTAGACTTTTGTCCTTATATGAACAGACATTCTTATAAACTGAGACTGAATGAAAACACATAGGCTATGGTCTGTTGTCCACCTTCTGGACAGGAATGAGAACCTGGAGGATGTAGAGTACAGAGTAGGCCTATGTGAAGGGTTTTGTTGCCCTTTGAACTGCTACTGTATTTAAAATACGGTGGATTCGAAAAGAAAAGTAGCATACAATGATGTAACTCTCATGTAAAGTAGGCTAAAAGTACCAATAAAGTATTCTTTATTACAGTAACTGTTACTTTCGTAATGTACTTAGTCACTCAGACCAAAAAATTGTTTAATATTTTAGGCAAATCAGGTGTGTTATAACCATAGGTTTATATAAGTAGTTCAAATTATTAAACATCGACATTCATCAGAAATTTTGATAAACCCAATGGCCACCTTCTGTTCTGATTCAGATGACGTGTCGACAGAGTAAGTTCCCAAAATGCCTTGCGGCGCAAGAGCCTACGTCATTCCTGCGCAGCCGCAGAGGCGTTGCAGCGGTGAGCTGAGGTGGACTTCTTCCATTGAGTCGGTGTGAAAGGAGCAGTGCAGTTCTCAGACCTCAGCAACAACACAAAACTTCCCAGACAAACCTCTTAGGCACCACAATGATTCGGATAGCCGTCTTCCTCGCTCTGCTGGTGGCCTGCTTGGGTAAGTCAGCGAGGTGGAGAGGCGTTAATTAGCTCTTAATGCTAACTTAACCAGCCTTAGCTAGTAACTGTTAGCTAGTTCATCAGATCACTTCCATTTGTCATCTAAATTAGGTGGGATATGAGTCTTGGTGATATATGTATGAATTGATAATACTGTGCAGATGACGCATTGTTGTTACAAGATTTTGTCTAACCTCAGCTGTGCACTCTGTGGTGACAGGGGAGAGCTGCACAGACCCAGTGATCACTCCGTCGGCCTACACCACCTCTGACGCCGTCATCTCCTCCGAGTCTGTCTTCATCGTTGAACTCAGCCTGGCCTGTGCCAACGGAGCACAGGTAACAGTCCACCTCTAACACTTCCAACAGACAGTATGATTACAGTATATTGATGTTATCGGGTGATTGACTCGTCGATGATCATTTCTGTCCTCACCAGAGTGTGACTCTGTATGCTGATGTCAACGGAAGACAGTTCCCTGTGACTAGAGGCCAGGATGTTGGCAAGTACCAGGTATGGTAGTGGCTTCATGTTTATATGTACTGCTTAAGGCATTTACTCCCTCACTGTATTTTATTTGGTAGTGTTTATGATTAGTACACAAGATAGTGACACTGAAGAAGGTGGATCATATAGCCAGAATGGTTGGGAAATCTCAGTTCTCCTATTCTTATTCCTAACCACCCTGGACCTCTTACCCTTAACTACAAAAAATGCCCGGAGCTTGTCCTCAGATTAAGTCATTCCTAGGTGATTATAAGTCATAAGAGGTCTTTGACCAGTTGGTTCATTTGTCTAACTTAAAACTTAATAAAATAGCCTCAAGGGTTATTGTCACTCCACAGATGAACAATCTCTGAAAACCTAGAGCTTATCATTGAGCAAATTTATTGTAATGCCTGAGCCGTGATGTGATATTTGTCACTTGCCAATATTTGGCAATCTGACCAGACCATACTGCTACACACAGTGAATGGCCATTTGCGTGGAGGTGTAAAGGTAGGCAGGATTTGAACTTCTCTCGCAAGGTCTCTTTTTCACGTCACTTTTTGCCTGTACAAACAAGTGCAACACTGCGAATGGCTTTGACGAGAAACTGCCCAAAAGTGTGCACAGTTAGCCCTATTTCAACGATTCATCACATCTCACCGCTCACTATTACAGCAGGCTTTTCTCCTTCATTTTGAGCAATGCCCAGCCTTAATCCGTTCCTCAGCAGCCCTTAAACACACTACACAGCCGCTTTGATTGGCATGTGATTTCTTTCCTCAGGTGTCCTGGAGTCTTCCTCACAAACAGGCCAGCTCTGGAACATATCAGGTCAAATTCTTTGATGAGGAGTCCTACAGTTCACTGCGCAAGGTTCGTGTTTGATGCATAGTTGCTACGAGTGAGCTCTGCTTGTTTCGCATTGTGCTTTCTCTTTAAGGAAAGGTTGTTTAATTAGAATTCTGTGTGTGTGTGTGTGTGTGTGTGTGAATCTCCTTTGTCCCAGGCCCAGAGAAACAATGAAGATGTCAATGCCATTGAGCCTCTCTTCTCTGTCAACATTGACCACAGGGTGAGTCTCCTATAGACATCAGATTAAACCCATGAATACAGTCACTATCATGGTCCCATTAGCCTTGTAGAATTGTGTAAATTGGATTAAAGCAGCTAAAATCAATATTTTTATATTAACATTGAATCAAATGACGAGTATTATCAGTTCCTCTCAGCTATATATAAAGCCTTGTAGCATCTTTCAGTTCTTTGTTTTGGTTGAACAGATTTTACAAAATTAGTGAGTTAGAACAGAACTAAAAAGGGAGTGAATGCTGGACTTGAATTCACTAGGCAGCTAGAAACGCAACTTCCAATAAATGCTAATGTTGCTCCGTATCTCCTGGATGTGAAAATTGGTAAGGTAGTAATATGTCAGTGCTGTGTTTACAGCTGTTTTCCGCTTCCTTCAAGAGGACAAAAAATATCAGTTATTGCGTCGTTTTTGTAGGGTTCACTTCCTTAATACTACAGGATTTCTATTGTATTTGACTGTAGAGACAAACCCTAGAGCTGTTCCACAGACTGTAAGCAAGGATCGAATAACTTATGTCAGCTGCCATTTTGATTTTATTGGTAGGGGATTCACAGCTGGAATCCCTCCATTCATGAAAAACACATTTTATGAAGCTCGCAAATGCTCAGTAATTCAGTTGTAGCTTAGTGAGACAAGGGTGGGTGTTTGCATTAAGAATAACATCATACTTTAAAGTGACAGATTAGTTCTTGGGTTCTTTAAGATATGAGGTCCAATCTGAGCATTCCCCGACATTGCTTTCAGCCTCAGAGTGTTCCTAGAAGCAGGTGGAAGTGGAATGTGTAGTTGGTCATCATTTGTTCTCTTCCTCTGTAAACCTGTGATGATCTCTTTTCTTTTTCTTATCTCTAAAGGGTGCTTGGAATGGCCCATGGGTATCTACTGAGGTGGTGGCTGCCCTCATTGGTATCCTGGTTTACTACATGGCCTTCAGTGCTAAGAGCACCATTCAAGCATAAACATATTCACAATCACTTTTTAACCACTGGATTGTTAAAGACTGAATTCTGGTGGAGCTCAACCAATGATCCATCATCCAGTGTTGTGGCGAGCCAATAGGATTTTGCCGCTAGGTCTGTTTTGGACAAGGAGCAAGAGCAGCAGTCTT